CCTCCCCAGGCTAGATTTTGCCCTGGTCACAAGAAAGCTGCTGCAGCTCCAGGTGCCACACTCAGGCCAACAGTGATCAGCAAGAGAATGACTTTTCCTGGGGCGGGGGGAGTGGATCCACCTGCCTGAACCTATATTGGCCTCAAAGACATTGTAGGGTCATATTTTACGTAGATGGATCCGTTCATTGGTTTCAGAGGTGTGTGCAAACACTATCAGGCAATTACAAGGTTTTTAGTATGTTGGAATTTTGATGGTGAGAAGTCGGGCTGTACTTGAAATGGAGGAGCCTTCCCACCCCCATTTAAAGAGCAACCAAAAAAAAAAAGTTTCTGACAAGATAAATGTTCTAGCCACAGAACACAGACTGGAGGCACATCTGGTGCTACCAATTGCAAGAATTATAATAGGCAATAGGGAGTTGTCTCTGCTAGCCTTAGCATAACAAAGGTAATTTTTTTTTAACGGAGCAAAAAAGGGAAGTAGTTACTAGAATAATGGATACCTAATGCTAGGGCTGACAGGACTCATTTAAGGGAAGAAAAAACCTTTTAGATTTTAAGACCTAAGTAATCCTTTAATGCTGTTAGCTTGTGTTAGATGCGGTAGAGGTTTTATATTTGAACCATAATTTAATATTTACTGTCAACGAAATCCAGGCATGTCCAAAGGGGTGGATTTCATTTGTGGAAGAAAATGAGTGTCTCTCTACTATTTATTTGTCATGGTCAAGTAACGGGCTTTGGACAGGCATAACTAATTTATTTTAAAGGCTTTGTAGGCCTTGAGGGCGTAAGAAGAAAGGGAGATTAGGAAATCTCATTTGAGGCCTTTTAGTGAGGGGGGGGGAGGCCGACAGAAAGCTAAAATAATGGATGGGAACAGCTTCCAGGAAATGTTATGTTACCCAAATTGCTTTTAAGAATCAGTACGGGAGTTCCAGCCTGGGACTGCAGATGAAACATGCAGGTCTAGATTCATTCCCTCTAAAACCTCTACGAAAACCATCCTAAAGTAATGTTTTTAAAAAATATACNCGGGAGTTCCAGCCTGGGACTGCAGATGAAACATGCAGGTCTAGATTCATGCCCTCTCAAACCTCTACGAAAACCATCCTAAAGTAATGTTTTTAAAAAATATACGTCTTTATTGATTTCAGAGAGAGGAAAGGAGAGGGAGAGAGAGAAACATCAGTGATGAGAGTCATTGATCGGCCCCCCACTGGGGATAGAGCCTGCAACCCGGGCCTGTGGCCTGACTGGGAATTGAACTCCGATTGCCTGGATCCTAGGTCGACGCTCAACCGCTGAGCCACGCTTGGCTGGGCCATAAAGTAATGTTTAAAAAATATATGTCTTTATCGATTTCAGAGAGAGGANTTGATCGGCCCCCCACTGGGGATAGAGCCTGCAACCCGGGCCTGTGGCCTGACTGGGAATTGAACCCCGATTGCCTGGATCCTAGGTCGACGCTCAACCGCTGAGCCACGCTTGGCTGGGCCATAAAGTAATGTTTAAAAAATATGTCTTTATCGATTTCAGAGAGAGGAAGGGAGACAGAAAGAGACAGAAACATCAATGATGAGAGTCATTGATCGGCTGCCTCCTGCATGCCCCTTGCTGGGCATGGAGCCTGCAACCCCGGGCATGTGCCCTGACCTGGAATTGAACCCTAACCTCCTGGCTCCTAGGTCGATGCTCAACCCCTGAGCCATACCTGGCCTGGCCGGGCAAGTAATTTAAAAANTACCTGGCCGGGCAAGTAATTAAAAAAAATAAATAAATAAAAATACAGTAAATCCACAAGGCTTAGGAGAACAGAGGAAGCCAGACAGCAGGAGAGGCATGGGGACTGTCTCAGCAGATGCAAGAAAGGGCAGTTCCCGGGCAAAGGTAAAAACCAAGATGGTTTATAAACAGGATCCCAAAAAAGCATAGCCAGGGCCCGAACCCGGCACCTCGGGAACTAGGCCTGGAGGCGCCCCAGCAGCTTGGGGGCCGGGAGACCCCAGCTCCCCTGCCCCGCCGCACACCTTCCGGGCTTGGCTTCCCATTCCGTCGCGCACGGTGACAACGTCTTATTTCATTTTTTCTGTCTTTATTGATTGCAGAGAGACAGAGGGAGAGGGGAGGGAGGAACACCCACGATGAGAGTCAGGATCAGCGGCCTCCTGCAGGCCGCATGGAGCCTGCGGCCGGGCCACGTGCCCTGATCACCCATCGAACCTGATCTCTCGGTTCCCAGGTCGATGCTCATCGCTGGGCCACGCGGGCCGGGCTCGGCCTGTCCCTGTCCCTCCTCGCGGGCGGGACTCGGCCTGTCCCTGTCCCTCCTCGCGGGCGGGACTCGGCCTGTCCCTGTCCCTCCTCGCGGGCCGGGCTCGGCCTGTCCCTGTCCCTCCTCGCGGGCGGGGCTCGGCCTGTCCCTGTCCCTCCTCGCGGGCCGGGCTCGGCCTGTCCCTGTCCCTCCACGCGGGCCGGGCTCGGCCTGTCCCTGTCCCTCCTCGCGGGCCGGGCTCGCCTGTCCCTGTCCCTCCCGCCGCCCCCGAGCCTCACGTAACGCTGGGCACACGCCGGACGCACAGCCCCAACGGGCACCGGAAGCCAGCGTGGGCAGGGGGGCGGGTCTAACGCTAGTCACCTGACCTGGCCGCCTGAGTTAGGATTGGGCTGTAGTAACACGTGATTCCTCAGCGCGGACTCGTGGCCCCGCCCCGGAAGCCCGCGCTGGGGGCGGGGTCAGGTACCACGTCGCGACGGGATTGGCCGGCTCCCTGAGGACGCAGCCAATCGCGAGCTGCTGCCTTCTGGCGCGAAG